CTAAGGAAATGCACTGAGATAAGGTTTTTTGCTGTAAACTAGATAGAAGAAAATATGAATGCAGTGGAGTTTCTTTGATTTTATAAAATATCTCCTTTTCCTTATCATATCATCATCCTCCTCCTAATAATCATCCTCATTCTTCTTTCTCTTCCTCAATTATATGCTTAAAGACAATTTTGGAGACACCTGCTTTTAAAAAGTGGTCCATTCCTTTGGGAAATAGGTTACTGAAACTCCCAGACTTAGAGATTGGAGTGTCCGAACCTTCAGTGCCAATACTGGCATGTGATTCATGCCAACTGTTTGCTGGGGTTCATGTAGTAGGGAGTTATAAATCAGCTTTATGAAGAGGAAACTCAAACTGTGCATTGGAATGGATTTATGATAAACCCATCAAAGTGGAGGGTCCATCTGGTGGGAATGCAATAAAGGTAATAGGACAGTGTCATGTAAACATTAAATACAGTGCCTTCCACCTTCATAAATTCTCTGTGCTCATGCTTAAATGCTGCCTATTATAAATCATGCAACGAAATTCTAGAAACAGCCATAAGTTAAATAAGACATGAGCAGAAGCTATAAATTGTCTACAAGTTTTTTCATAGGAAACTTGTTTGTTTATTGGGGGATAATATCAGAATCTTTTTCCCACAATTATTTACCTCAATTTACTTAATATCCTACAATCACTTCTAGTCAAGATTAAAGAGTAGTAATGCAAACCTTTAATTCTAGATAATGTGTCATTTTTATGTGGCAAAGTCCCTTTTTGATTTGCAGGCTCATTTTAAAGCATCTTTAGGTCTCTAAAATGTTGGTCTTTTTAAGAGCTATATTCAATATTAGAAGTTTTTGCAACAGCCCATTTCCCCACAGGTATTTACAATCAAATTATTTTATTGTACATGGGAACAATTAAAATTTGGCTGTCAGCTGTAAATAATTATTATACACAATGACATTCATGGGTTTTCCTTAAATAGTTATGTATTCCCAATAACCTCTGTTAACAAACATGAGGTTGATATATATGTACTTTGTGTGTATCCATAAACAATTATATTTCCAAACATAATATCAAGAAAGAGATTTCACCTACATAGTACTCTAGCATTGTCTGATAACATGTGGCCACCTGCAATGATTTTCTTGAGCATATTTTGCTTCTGTTCCACTTTCATTTTACTTCAGTTCCAATTTAATTCTAAAAACTGTTGGTGTTTACAGAAAGAAGTAAGTACAGTTTCAGACAATTCTTTAAAATATTTGAGGTGTGTAATTGTAATATATCAATATCTGGAATTAAGGTCTAACATACAGTATAAAGAAAGATAACTAAATAGGCTGAGGCTTATATCCCAGTTCTGTCAACTTCTAGTTGAGTGACATTGGACAATTTACTTTCTCCAGACTCAGTTTCCTTATGTTAAAGCTTAGGTTGTTATATCTATAACTTAGGGAGAATAGGATTATTAAATTAAATATATATGTAAAAAGTGGGGCACATACTACATACCTAGTTTATACTGATTCCTTCATTGTCTTCCATGCTTCTTTCTCAGAAAGGCCTATGTGGTCTCGGATTCTCTGTTCTGGGTATATCCACCCCAGTTGGAAAATCTACTTTCTTTTCAGTAGTTCCTCTTTTCTTCAAGTGACAACTATGGTAGATGCTCAAGGCTGTTTTACTCACAACCAGAAACATGTCAACTGGTTCCAGTTGCAAAGGTACCTAACAGCTATATCCAGCCTTTCTAGGAGGCCTGAAATGGAGCTGAGTGGTAATGTTTCAAGGGCAAAGTTCTAGATGTAATGAATGATAAAACAAACCCTAAATGAGCCTGCACATATCTAGTGACAGACACACCACAGCTATTCTAAATTATTCAAGCTTTCTCAGACTTCTAGCAGGAGAAACATAATTCATCTACTCTCTTTACTCTACTCTCATATAATGGCAAAGAGCAAACAAAAATCCCTTCTCTAAAAGAGAAGTTATAGCTATCAGAATTGAGACAAGTTGGCTTAGCATATGTAGTATTTTTAGAATGATCTAATTTCTAGGAACTAATTTTGTAGAAGTTAAAAATTATTTTATAATGCTAATGGACGATTTCCTTACTGCCCTTTTGTTTACTAGCATTTTGCTTGCAAAAATGTAGTAAAACAGTTATTTAATACACCAAGCATATCACAAATAAATAACCTCTTAGATAAGCTATAATCGTTTTGCAGCAGCAATAATACCAGGGTCAAAAGTAACAAAGAAAATTAATCTTCAAATAAACAAACCTCAAAAGAACAGCTTTATGTATTAAGGATAACTAATGATTTGTTTAGAAAAATGTTACTGAAATGTGGCCTTTGGACGAGAACTGTCACTCTGCAGAAGTCAGATACCCTAATATTTAACAGGTTACCACTTGGTGGACTGATTTGTTCAGATGTAATTATACAATATTTAGACAGCATCTTAGGATACCATGTAGTTCAGCTGAATCAGTTCAGCTGGGTATTGTGGTAGTATTTTGATTACTGTACCAAATGTGAAATTAGGATTTTTTCAGCCTCTATTCTGCACTTGCTAGGTCTTAATACAGGTGTTTTTAGAAAGCCTAAATTTACAATCTGACAACATTTAACACTGAAAACTTCTCCCCCTTCATTTTTAAATATCAAAACTGCATTCCTTAATTAACAACAATACTTAAGAACGATTATTGACTGCACAGAAAACATATTAGAACATTTGGGAAGTCAGCATGCAAATTTGCCACATTGTTTATATAATAAAAATTGTAAGCCTTTCTATTTTTTCAGATAGTTCATATCACGAACAAAGTTCAGTGTGTTCCTGGACAATCATTTTACTAAATAATCACACAGTGATCATCATTTTACAAAACAGTAGTTTAAGATGCATAAACTAAAATATTGCAGGTGGGTCCTTGCATCCTATCGCTGAGACATTTAAAACACAGCAATGACAAAATCAGGTCATCAAAAATTTTCAGAAAGATAAAAGTTTCCTCAAGATTAACTCTCAGCAAGTTATTATTTGTCTTGAAGTTTTCCCATGAACTAAAAATAGAAAGAAATTTAGTCCATAGGAAGTTCTTCAAAAGCCCCAGCTTACTCTGTCCAGCCCAGTAATTGGACAGCTTCTTCCCCCTCCTGTTAACTAGATAGCACTACACTATTTTGTTTCAAAACTAAATAAAAATTTAATCACCAGCCATAATGGTATACAAACTATATAGTCAATACAAGTAACAAATGATCTTCAGGTAATAGTCGTTATCATTAATGACATTATTTCAATTACTTTCTGTGAATCTGAATTAATGCATATATGTATATGCAATTGCATATTTACTCCCTCTTACACCAAATATAAAATGGAAGACTTTACCTCCACAAATATTTTTACTACTTGTAAACACATGGCTAAATTTGGTAAATAGGAGCAGTAGCTGTGGAGGAATAGATGTTAATGTTGAACACACATGAGATCCCAAAGAAGAAAGCTAAATTTTAATTCTTATATATCTTTACCTAAGCATAAATTGCTAAACTCTGGTCAACTGTCATTTTTATTAATACCTGATATATTCTGGGCCCAAGAATCTTGAAATATATGACCCATTCATTTAAATTAGCTGTCACCTACACCCTTGGAATTCCCAAACAACTGACAATAAAAGGTCCCCTTGAAAGAGTACTTGGAATTTACCACTGAGATAGAGCCAAATTGTCCTGAAATAAATTTAAATGTTATTGTCTACTGTCTTCAGTATGCCACTACCTCCTCGCCTTGGGATCCTTTCACATAACAAGCACTAGAAGATGAATAAATCTGGAAAGTAACTACGAAAGGAAGCCAACAGCCTAATCTGGCTTGACTGGATTAATTCAAGAAGAGACACGTATCCGCCCCTTCTGTCTTGTTCTCCTTCCCGCTATATAGGCCACACCCTTGCAAGAAAAAAAAAAAAAAGGAAGGAAAAAAGAGAGTGAAAAAAAGAAAGAAGGAAATCCAAGGATCTCAGGAAGAACTTGCAGGGAAGGGGAAAACCTCACCCTATGGGATAAACTATAGCCATGGAAACAGACTTATGACTTTTACTTTGAAAATGAAAGAATGACAATGTAATTTGTGTGAGGTCTGTGCGAATCCAGTCCCAGATGTTTACAGTGCTGTAGTAGTACGGCTCTGCAATATGAGAGGCTTCATAAGAAATAGTACAACAGCACACCACAAAGCAGCGCATATGCTATTGACAATGCAGACATGAGCATCATGTTACCACGAGAGGAGGCAGGCAGAAGACAAATAGCAGCGGTGGTGCCTGAAAAGCTAACTTCATGGACTGCAATCACTCAAACCAACATCAGCGATCCAAAGAGGGGGGAAAAATCAAAACCAGAAAAAAAATGCTTGTCTCTATCTGGAAGTGCTAGGGCGAAGGGATGGGCAATAGGACAAGAGTAGAAAGGAGTTTTCTTTCTTAAATATAATTCCCATAAAGACCCTATAATTGACAGCGGGTGATTATTTTCAGCTTGAGGAGCCTGTCCCAAAAGCCTAAAGTTTGCCAGAGAGAGGAAGGGAACAAAACGTGTTCACTTGAGCCGTTACCAGAAGGGAGGGAAACAGGACCTCCAGATGGGGTGGGGAAGGCGCTGGAGACAGAAAGGGGCATCTACGAGCTGCAGTCACTTTCGGGAGCCCCGAATGGTTCGGCGAGCGACAAGCGCAGGAGAGAGGGGTGGGTGATAGGGTGGCCGAGGGTGGGAGGAAGTGCGCCTAGGGGAGGGGATGCAGCGGCACACTGTATACACGGGGTGGGGGTGATTTAGTGTGAAAGTATTGCACTTAATCATTTTACAGGGTTTGGGGACATAAATATTTAGCTGGCCACATCTGGAACAGATTTTCCCCCCGTGTGGGGTGGGGTGGATAATTGGAAGGAGGGGAGCGCGCATTTGTTACTTACTGTACGGGCAGTTTTCCTTCTTCGTACCGCTAACCTTCCCGTTCTTCTCAATCTTGAGAAAGTACTTGGTGAAAGAGAAGAGCTTTCTCCAGCGCACATCTCCTTGGAGGTGATTGTAGCTCCGCACATGCCTCCCCGCACTGGAAGGAGAGGAGAAGGAGGAGGAAGAGGAAGAGGAGGAGGAAGAGGAGGAGGAGGAGGAGGAAGAGTTGGTGGCCTCCGGTGACACCATGTCCTGACCAAGAGCTTGGCAGGTGACAGGGACGGAAGACACCAAGAACAGCAACAAGAAGCAGCAACCGCAGCCAGGCAGGTGGGGAAAGGCTGAGGCACAATGTGTCAGTATCCATTTCCACATTGTACTGAAACTCTCGGCACTGGAAATTGTCTCATCAGAAGGAACATACTGGAAGGGTGAGACCTGGTGCACCGCAAGGAGACGGCCGGAGGTGGTGGCTGCTGGTTAGCTCCCTCTGGGCGCGGGTCTGGCCAGAAGTGAAGGCGCCAACACCCATAACTCCTCGGAAGGGCCGCTGCCACTCCTTGCTGCGCTCGGGACCCGCTGCCTGCGCCTCTGCAGCCTCCCGGTGAATTGTGGACGTGGGTGGCCGCAGGAGCTGGTGGCGGCGGTGCGTTGATCACCAGCACTCTTGGGTCCCCTGGGAGTTACTTTGTTCTCTTCTTCACTCCTTTCTTCACCATGTTAGATGCAAAAAAAGGTCTGAAAAACAGATGACAGCACGGTGAACAAAACCCAAGGGGAGTGGGTTGGGGTAGGGAAAACGGAGGAGATATCTGCTCCCCTCTGCGGCTGGCACCTTCTGGTCCCTCTCCGCAGAGCCCCAGCCCTCCGGCCACTTCTAAAAGTGTGGCCCTTTGGAGTTGTCAGAACTGGAGGCAGCTGCCCAGTCGCTGTTTGTTTTCTTCCCCTCTTCCTTTCTCTTTTTGGTGGTGCCTGTTGATTTGAATCCTCCAGAAAGTCACTTCTCAGTTTGGCGGCTGGTGTTTTGTTTGGCCTTCTCCCCCACCCCCGTTCCTTTGGGAAGCGCGCTTGTAAACAGGTTGAAGTCTGGAGTCTAAATGTCAGTGATTCCAAGCCAGAGGTGGGCTCTGCCTCTGCTGGTCAAACCTCATTTGCAGGGGTGGAGAAGCAGGGGGGAGGGGGTCAAACGGCGGTGGGACATCTGAAACCCTCGGCTGCTGGGAACGCCAGGGAGAGGGAGGGAGGAAGGGGCCGGGAGGGGAGAGAGCAGGAGAGCGAGGAGAGAGCGTGATGCCTCTGCGCTGAGCTCCGGGGCTGCGGGTCCCTTCCTCGCCGGCGCCGCAGGCTCGGGCTGATTGCTGCTAACGGGTTCAGGGCTCGCAGCGCTGGCCACAGGCGCTAACCATCCGCTGGTTCTCTGAATTTCCCCTCCGGGGAGCCCCTTTCTCACTTGTTTTTCCGCGTAGAAGTGTTTCCCCCCCCCTCTTTGGCAGTGGAGTACTTGAGAGCCACCTGGAGCTATGTGTTTGGCTGACACCCCCCACCCCACCCCAGCTCTCCGAAGACGGAAGGGCTGGGGAGAAAGCAGACGATGCTGGGGATAACCCTCCCCACCCGCAAAACAGCAGATTATAAACTGGTCGGAGCGAACACAGAAAAGGGAGACATAATTAGTTTCCTTTCCTCTTCTGCCAGCTTCCAAGGAGGTCTCCGCTTTAATGAATCACTGATTTCTCGCTTCCGTTGCTGAAGTAAAAAGTTCACACTTTGGCCCTCTGTCTTTTAAACTCAGGGAGATTTATCGTCACCGTTAAAAGTCTCCTCTCTCTCGGTGCAAATGAAATCAGGGACCCCTAAGACCGATTTCTAATTGCTAACATGAGTCCTTTACTGAATCACGCGTGCACTTCAAAGCGAATGCACTTTATTGAGATCGCAAAGATTTTTACCAAACAATTTGGCCGAAAACACTGCTGTCTGTTTTCTTTTCCATGCAATTTCCTTTGCACTTTGCCATAAAGCCGTGTTTTTTCTTACCCTTAAATTTAGTACTTAACTGGGCTCTCTTACAATGTAACGACGTTAGGAGTTGTCCTCTTATGCTCTCCTCTGAAGCTCACAGAAACTAGTTCACATTCCAGGTATAAACAGACGAAGTCCAAGTCTTGGAAGCCTTTGCTAAAAGTAAAATGCACAAGGAGGAAAGCACTACGATAATCCGTTCCAACCCCAGATAGAGAGTTCCTAAAGGACCACTTCTTTAGAAAATAAACTAAGGGAAAGTTTAACTGGAAGAAATGCTTGAACATGCATTGTTACCTAAGGCAGTGGGACATTTGTGGGTTGGGTTTCATTGAGGCATATGAGATTGCCAATATTTAACTGCTCTCTATTTACAAAAGCAGCGATTTCTAATAGTTCAGCCTAATGGGCTGCTGGTCCAAGGCGGAACTATTTCAAGGTGATTTGAGAGTTTAACAACTGCGATGTAATTCCGAAAGAACTAATCAAAAGAGCTTGTATACAGAAGCCAGAATCCCTATAATGTGCATTTGTCCTCCATCTCCCTGGTAAACTGGAGAAAATACAAAGAGATGGGCATTAGGAGTGATTGCCCAACTTTATTGCTTAGTGACTTGAAAAATGGCTTTACATGCATGCTCTTATATTTTCCTGTGCATTCAGAGCCTTTGAAATAGAACCATTTAATACCAGAATCGAGATGTTAATTGCATTATTTATAACCTGTTGTGATGCTTATTCAGAAGATTTCACCACTGTGGTGAACATCACAGTAGATTTTTAAGTTTAATAGAATTAGCGCTGATTTCTGTAGCTATTAATTGGAAAGTTAAGTAAATAAAGAGCAAACGTCAAACTACTCTTGCTCTTTAATTAAAGCATGAATATTGAAAAATGAAACCGCAGTGCTAATTTCCTAGTTTACAGTTTTATACCTGAGAGGACAAATGCCTAAAAGGGTGCACTGTTTCTAAGGGATGTGAGATTCAGCCCAATAGTTTAGAAGAATCTAAATGTTTGACTTGACAACTCATTAAAACTACATGTTTTTTAAAAATTATGTTTGATGAACCCGTACAATAAACATTCTGCTGTGAAAAATTACAAAACACAGGAAGTTATTATTTTGGGGTTTCTCTACACTGAGAACCAGCACTATTGATGCCAGCTTGGGATTTAATTTCTTAAACTCATACCAGACTCCCCTCCAAACCAAAACTAGTGAGTCTCCCCTGACTCCAACACGCACCCCCATTTACCAACTTCCTGCTCCTATAGAAGCTATTCAGATGTTTTAGCTAGAAGTTTTATTTCCTTTTTATCTAAAAGGGGGAAAAAGATACCTTCAAAACTTCCATATTAAAGCCTGGCTACAGCAGGTGTAGTGTTTGAAAGTTCTAGAAACCTCGCTTAGCTCTTCTGCATGGCATGATGACAGGAAGGGCATTTACAAAACAGCCCAAAGGAAAAGCTGACATAGCTTTTTAGATTATATCTCATTCTTCTTTTTCTTTTCTGTACAGCCTTTCTTTTACAGCACAGTTGAGTCCCTAAATACCCCACTACTTTGTATTGTCAGGTCACCTCTTAGGTTAGCTGGAGAAAGCCTGAGAAAAGTTCCACAGGAAAGATGCACTATTTAACGGAATTCAATCTCTCCCAATAGATTTGAATCACTAACATAAATGTATGAATGTAGATTATATCTCTGTAATGAGGCTTGAATCATTCTCAGTTACTTCAAAGGCCTGAAATTCTACCTTCCTTTTTTAGCAGCAATAATCAGGTCTTAATGGGTTCCTTTATTAATTGTTTCTCTGCTAGGATTGAAAAGGACAGTACAAGCTTCAGATTAGAGTAGTACCTACTAATTCTAAAAGAGTGTTTTTCTCTTTTATCCAATCTCTGGAAAGCATGCTTTATTTCTATGCCCTAAACATCTTCAATAACATTATTTATTATTTCTCTAAATCTTTATTGAGAGAAATATATGTAGGTCTTTCTAAAACATGTGATGTCTTGAGAGAGTATTGAGGCCTTTTAAAAACACCATGATAACAGCTATTGAAGAATAGTAACATGTGGCTTTCAAACATAAAAGAAGCAATCTGTGTATGTTCCGTCAGACCTTTCAGTAGCTATTCTGTTTGAGCAGTTTACATTTTAAGCATGTATTTCCTGGATTCTTTATATTTCTCCGCATTATCTGTGGTTCTGTTATAAGATATGTGTTCTTTTATGTGTGATGTTATTGGCAGTGTCAGTAAACTGCTTCAAATAATGCTAAGTCAGGTCAAAAGTCACCCAGGCTACTTGACAATTTAGACATGTGCAGGCCTTACAAGTGAAGCCCATGTTGCAATCCTTATAAGTATATGTACAGCCCTGGATATAGGAGATGTCAGTGGTAAGGGATTCTTCAGGCTTGTTTTCTTCTCAAGCTGCAGCTAGACACAATTGTCACAACCTGTGACATTTGGAAGATAAAGTAGAGACATCTCCTATTCTTATTTTTAAAGTAAGGGCTTCGAGTGAAAGGAAAAAAGGTGTTATCCTACAGACAGCAGGAATCTTAGTAATATAGGCTGAATATCCTATACTTAAAATACTTATGACCAGAATTGGATTTCACATTTTCTGAATGTTTGCATATATTATGTATGTATGTTGAGTTTATCTATGCTCACATACCCCTTTTACTCATACCCTCAAGTTAATTTTATTCAATATTTTAGTGCACCTGCCTTTTGACTTCAACCTATCCTGAGAAATCAAGTGTGAAACTTTCCTTGTATGGCATTATGTTGGCCTTTTTGATCACTTTGGATCTTGGATTTTTGGCTTAGGAATATTTAACCTGTAATTGAATCCATCTCATGTATTATAGATAAATGAATGAAGTGCTGAGGCCATGAAGTGGTGCACCAGAGTTTGGGACTCCTGGAACAGACCTTAGGTTGTGACTTTAATATTCTGTAATACTCGCCCTACCACCCCGCCACACGACCACCACTTTGCTCTTCTCCTTGTGATTAACCACTCATCACTCCATTATGTCTGAGATGCCAGAGTAGAAGTGATAAGAAGGGTTAGAAGGCTTTAGTTTCAGTTAAAAACCAGCATATCTTTGCTGTAATAGGTTAGCCAGAAAAAGTAATCCAAGTTTAGTGTCAAATTATTGAGTACCAATATTTTAGGCAAAATGGAATGCAAATTGTCCTATATTTGTCATAGGGGTATTTTGTGTGACATGAGCATGCTTTAAAAAGCAATGCATACCACACATTTTCAGGTTATCCAAGGAGTTTTTAAAAATTTAAATTTGAAGTTCTCAAGGAAATTGATGGCACCTTCTAGAAATTAGATCTATAATTTGGTTAAGCTTTCTGTGACAATGTTAAGTTTTAAGAAAACAGTATAATGTTTCAAAGCATAAGTGTTTGCTTAAACATTTTCTCAAGGTTTATAAAGTTAATTTCCTATTTTCTTGCCTTCAAAAAGACTTAGTGATCTGTCATTGAGAATGAAATATGGGCCAAAATAGTAAAAAGGATCTTAAGGGGATATTTCTATATAAGAATGTTTAAAATATATTCACAACAAATCTCCAGAATTTTCTGAAACCTGAACTCTGCATCTTGGTACCAAACACAACAAGCTTCTTTCCACAAATCTCCTGTCTGTCCCTTTCCAGCTGATGGTAAACAGAACCTTCCTTTGACAAAGTTGTAAAGCCTCTGAAGAGTTTTGTTTGTTTTCCATGTTCACAGCTGTCCTTCTGTATATTTGTGCCTCCTTCTATTTCAAACCCTTTAGGTTTCTTAGTCCTGTTACGTATGTCAAAATTTCAAGCCTCATATTTGTTTTTGTGTGTGTGAATTAAATGCCAGATTATATTTTTCACTAAAGTTCTAGTGTCTTATCCCAACAGATATTTGCAATGTGTTCATCTCTTCATTGATTTATTTAATTGATTTTTATTCAGCCAATGCTTATTGAGTACCTACTATGTGCTAGCCAGACATTGTGTGTGGTACCAGGTTTCTGCAATAAATAAAAACTATAATAACTTACCCCGGGAAGATCATGTGTGCATGTGTGGATCAATGAATGATTTTAGGCATTTTGTCTCTAGTGATGGGCTAAACAGGCTTATATTAGACTCAGCAAGCAGTTGGAAATGTTTAGGAGGAAAAA